AGCAAGGCTGGGCACGGTGGCTTCCACCTGTAATCCTAGCACTCTGGGAGACCAAGGCGGGTGGATTCCCTGAGCTCATGAGTTCAAGACCAGCCTGAGCTGGAGCAAGACTTCGTCTCTAAAAAAACAGCCAGGCATTGTAGCGGGCACCTATAGTCCCAGCTACTTGGGAGGCTGAGGCAAGAGAATCACTTAAGCCCAAGAATTTGAAGGTGCTGTGAGCTATAAAGCCAGGCCATTCTACGGAGGGTGACAAGGTAACAAAGTGATACTCTGTCTCAAAAAAAAAAAAAAAAAAAGACCCAGCCAAGCATCACTTTAGGACACCTTCACTCATGAATTTTTGACATAGCTACCCCAGACAAAGTTTGTCATACTCCTTTCTTTGTTGAAGACAGTGTTTTCTGTAATGTGTGGGTTGGGAGGAAAGGTTGCTTCAGCAGTTGGGTGTTTACTCCTTGAGGGCAATGCTGTATCTTTTTTTTATATTCCTAGCACTAGCCTAGCCCTTGTCACACAGTGGAAGCTAGGAAACATTTGTTGAATCATGAATGAATGATTGAATGAATGAATGAATGAGTTACCTAGCTTCCAAGAAGCTTCCTCTGTAATTGGGAAGAAAGGAAGATAAACCAGTAATTAGGATAAACCAGTAATTAGGATAAAGGGCTATATTGTTAGATTCTTCCAAGGCCACACAAAGGGAATACCCCAATCACCTCTTCCACTTTATCCCTTTCCCCAGTCTCTTTCTGTTACTCTGCCTCAGTTGTACCTGCCTCCTTGTTGATCTTCAGTTGAGACACTAGGTGCATTCCTGACCCAGGGTTCTTATATTTGCTGTTGTTTTTCCCCATATTGCTTTCTTTAGCTGTCCACCTGGTTTTCTCCCTCCTTTCCTTTGGTCAAATGTCACCTTTTTAGTACTTCTGTGAACTCCCTCTTTTAAGTTGTAATGCTCCTGGCTCTGGCCATTTCCTCTTTTCATGCTGTATCTTTTACCATAACATCATCATCTGATTTAATTTATATTTTATTAATTATATATCTGAATCTTCCTTCCCCCTTAGAATTTAAGTTCCTAAGAGCAGGAACTTTGATTTATTCACTGCTATTTTCTCAGTGCCTAAAACAACCCCTGGTATAGTGCAGTCACTCAGTAAGTATTTGTCAAATGAAAAAATATATACCTGGCTTGGCACCTGTGGCTCAAGTGGCTAAGGCTCCAGCCATAGCCATATATACACCTGAGCTGGCGGGTTCAAATCCAGCTCGGGCCTGCCAAACAACAATGATGGCTGCAACAAAAATATAGCCAGGCGTTGTGGCCAGCACCTGTAGTCCCAGCTACCTGGGAGGCCGAGGCAGGAGAATCGGTTGAGCACAGGAATTGGAGGTTGCTGTGAGCTGTGATGCCACAGCACTCTACCCAGGGTGACAACTTTAGGCTCTGTCTCAAAAAAAAAAAAAAAAGAAAAAGAAAAAATACACCAAGAGACTAGATGAGGAAGGAATGAACAAATAATTCTGCCTTTCTGACTTCTTAGCTGGGCATTTAAGTGTGACTTTGCTAAGTAGAAAGAAGGGGCAAAGAAGACAGTCCAGGCCAAAGAACCTGACTGCCAAGGCCAGCAGGTGTGTCAGTGCATGGGCCACTGAGCTGGAGTGGCCCCATGTGACTGGAGCAGAGGATGGGAGCTAGGAGTTGCTGGCCTTTTGCAGGTGGAATTCCCAGAGGCCCGGATCTTTGAGGAAACCCTGAACATCCTAATCTACGAGACTCCCCGGGGACCAGACCCAGCTCTCCTAGAGGCCACAGGGGGTGCAGCTGGAGGAGGTGGGGTGGGCCGAGGGGAGGATGAAGAGAACCGAGAGCACCGTGTCCGCAGGATCCACGTCCGGCGCCACATTACTCATGATGAGCGTCCTCATGGCCAACAGATTGTGTTCAAGGACTGACCTTTGATCTTTCCCCTGCCTTCCTCCTCCCCTAGGACCCAGTTCCTGTCTGTCTTTTCCTCCCCTTCCCAGACCTTTGCCCCGGCTCTGCTGGCCAAGTCGTGGGTCTTCTGTCCTTTCATTGCATGGTGCAATTCACGTTGGCCCTTTTCCATTCATTCCCATCTCTTGCTAACAACATGTTACATTCTAGCCACTCCTTAAGTCTAAACCCTTCAGAAAGTCAACATGCATCTCCTCATCCCCATTCTTGTCCTGCTTTCTTTCCCTCACCAGCTGGTTTAGAATGATTCAGAATTCCCTTTTTCCTTTTTAAGTACATGGGCCCTGCCAAAGTGTCAAGCCCATCCTTAGTACCATCCACCGCACTCTGAGCCACCCTGCATTGCGCAGGGTAATTTGCCACCCTCCCCAGCCCCGCATTCTCCCTATCTCCTTAACTTTGTACAGGCTGGCCTGGGCCTGCACCAGCTCAGTGGTCTTCTCAGTCTGTTTCATATTTATTTATTATTTTAATTTTCTATTAAATTATTGAAATAAAGTTGAGTTGAGAGTTTGGTGCTGGCTCCCCAGAAGAGGGACAAGTGTCTGGCTATTTGTATGAGAGAAGACATATGTCCCTGCCCCAAACCTTTCCCTGTGGCCAACTGGGTAACTAAGAAGGAAGGAGTCAAGAGTTAGGAGAGAATTCCAAATTTATATTTCAGTGTTCACTGTCCAGTTCCCACCATCACCCTTGCCCACCCTGCTGCAGTGGAGAAGAGGTCCTGGGTGCTGCTCAAGCCATCCCTGAGTGCAGTATCTCTCCAGCCCAGGTGGTCTGAAGGGAGCACCTAACATCAAGGGTCTGGCGTGAAGACAAAGTCGAGGGCCTGGCGTTCTGCCCCAGCCACATTGGGGTGCCAAAGGTCCACTATGAAGACCACTCGAGGCCCATCTTCAGGAGAGCCTAGGGCACATGGGGATGAAAAGAGCAGAGTGGCTGATATGAGGTACTTTCTGTGCCAGAGCACTCACCAAGTAAGTGCCAGGCCCTGTTCTAACCCTCTATATGTATTAACTCTTAATTATCAAAACAAACTGAGCTGTTAACCATGATTAGCCCCATTTTAGACAGAGGCAAGGTCAAGTAATTTGCCCAGGTACAAGAGGTAGGACCAAAGCCCAAGTGGTGACACAGGCTTAGAGTCCTGTGCTGTTAACCACTTTACTGTGCACCTACATTATGTTCTTTAATCTTCACAGTTACTTGTTAAAGAAGGTGCTAGGGCTGTCTTACAAAAGATTACAGAAGTTATGGGACTTGTTCAAGGTCATGCAACTGGAAAATGGTGCTAGGACAGGAAATCAGCAGGGCCTGATTCTGAAGTCCACTTGACTACCCCTTCAACTCATTAGTCCCATATCCCTCCCAGAATGGGTACCCTATTACCATTATGAGCCACTGTATGCAGAAAGGAGTCATCCACCAGTAGACAGTGCCCCTCAGCCCAGCACTGGGGTTCACCACCAACCACGAGCTCACAGCCAGGGGGGATCTTCAGGCCTGTGGGAAGAAACCAGAGGGTCCAACATTCTTCTGTGTATCCAAGGGGCCCAGGTCAGTCAATTGGCAGTTTTAAGGATCTTAAAGGCCAGGTTTTGTGGTGGTTCCTCCTTCCTGGAAAGTGACCACATATAATTACAATATAGCACTGGATGAGAGAAGTACTTGGAAATTGGGGAGATGCTGGGAAGTGCAGTCAATTGTAGAAAAAAGAGAAGGCTTCCTGGAGGAAGTGGCAACTCCTGGACCTCCTGACAATTCAATTCAAGAACCTACTAGGTGCTAGGTGCTGTCTCTGCATGAGGTATAAGACTGCTTCCTGGCCCAACAACCACATGGTTGAGTGTGGTGAGGTAACTGAGCAGCCATCTCAAATGATGGGAAATAGGAGGGTATCCCAGAGAGGGTGTGGCCCTTGAAAACTGGCATCCTGAGGGTTTAGTAGGAGATGATAAGGTGGAAAGTCATTCTAAGTTGAATATACAACATGTGTGTGCTATCTGCCATGATCAGCCAGAAGGCCATCATGATTTAGAGCACAGTGGGAAGGAAGGGGAGGGGAAGAAGGATTTGGACTTGATCCTGAGGTCAGTGTGCCCCAAAGTGAAGGACACATCCAACTGGCAGCACAGGAGACAATCTGGGGTTAAACAAGGTCATGGAAAATTGTTTCTGTTCCATTTTCTATTTATTTTCAATCTTTGAAACATATCTAAAAGAAAATTTCAGTTTGGTGCTACCTTAACTTTGACACTCCACCAACATTGCTCCCTTTTAAATGAAGAAGATGGAGGCTTCAGTCTTGGAAAACTAGAGTATTTAACTAGAATAGTTAAAGCCTTCTTTTTTAAAGTTTAAGCTTATTTTTATAAGTACTTTCTATTTAGGACAAGTAATGATGATGACTTACAGTTCTATAAAGATTTCCTTTAAGTATAATAAAAGATATGGGGAGAGTCAACATGAAGAAAAATGGTACAGATGGTAAATGACTATGGCAAAGCTAATGAAAATGGTTTGCAGATAACTGAAGCTCAGAAAAGGCTGCTCTGAGCAACAGAGAGCCATGGAAGATTTCTGAGAAGAGAGGCATGATCAGAACCATAGACAGCTCTGGTGGCAGAGAAGAGGAGAATCTGGAAAGGGGATTGTGATGGCTAGGAGATTGTCTGTAGGCAGCATCTACTTACCAAGGTGGCATCTGACCCTCGCATTGGTGGGCCCACAGCGGCTCTCAAGTCTGGCCCCAGGCAGGAGGACAGAAAAGCCAGCATTGCCGAAGGTGTTGGCGCTCATAAAGCTCCGCAGCCCCCTCAGTGCCCGATAGGCCCCTGGGCACCGGCGGCAGTTGCTGGGTTGGCACCGGCCTGCTTGGTACAGCAGGAGCTGGTAGCACCCAGGAGCCAAGGGCGGGGACCAGCCCCGAGGCAGAGGGGTAGTTCCTGAGAAGTCCCAGCTCACAGCCCCAAAGTCCCGCAAAATGGCAGGGAAGCTGCTCTCCAGGAGCTCCACATCATGCCGCTGGGCATCCCGTGGCACAAAGGGGACTGAAGGCAGGTCTGGTAGGAAAAGCAGGCCTGGGCGCTGAATGCCCAGGACCCCTGGCCCTCCCCCTGGGCCTGGACCACCTTGCGCTGCCCGCCTCACCCTACCCATCCCAGCCCAGGAGTAACGCCTGGCATAGGCCCGAAGCCGACGGCTCACCAGGCCTTCTGTCCTAGGTCCTTCTCCTGGCTCTCCAGAGCCCCTTAGACTTGGCCTGCCAGCTTCAGAGCATCCCCCAGGCCCACCACTGACACCTCCAGCCTGGCTCCCAGCCCCCAGGGCCTGCATGTCTTGGGAGCCCAGGCGGTAGCAATACCAGAGGAAAAGGGAAGTGAGGGCTCCAAGAAGCAAGGTAAGAGCTGAGGAGACCAGTGGCAGTGGCCATGGGAGCATGAGAGGTAAAGAGGCCTTGGCCAAGAGACCTGGAGCATCTGCCAGACCCCAGTTCCCCTGTCCCCCCAGCTCTCCTCCGGTTCCTTCCATGGCTGCTCCCTGGTTCCCTCCTGGGCTGTTTCCCTTCCACATCCCCACTCTCAGTTCTTTCTCTCCTTGTGAGGTCTCTGATTTACTTTGTATCTCTCTTTCCCCTCCTTCATGGACCTCTAGCCCTCCATTCCCTCTTTCCTTCTATCTCACCACTCTCCTACCTCTTCTTTCTCTGATACCTTTCTCCTCTCTCTACAAGCCTTCTCCCTTCTTTCTCCTTCCAGCAGTCTCCTCTCTCTCCCTCTGCCTCCTCTCTCCACCTTCAGTCTCCCCCCTCCTCTCTTTTCTCTTCCTCCACCTCCCTCCTTTTCGTTCTCTTCTTCTCCTTCCCCCTTTCTCCTAGCCTCCCTGGACAGCGGTTCCTACCCCACCTGGACCCGCAGCCCCAGGAACCGCAGCCTGTCTTCCTCAGTGGCGGTTCTCTCTTGCCTTCCTCCTTCCTCTCTTCTTCTTGCCCTCACATCTCACTCGACCCGACTCGCAGCTCCTGCCTCTCTCTCTTGTTCCCTCTCTCCTACTCGCTCCTTCCTTGGCTCCCACTCACCCTGACGTCACTCCTTCCCGGAGCCCTGAGTTTAGCAACCCCTGACCCCTCCCAGTGGCAACCGCGACTCAGCTGGAGGGGGGGAGGCGTCTCTGAATTTGCCTCCCCGCCCACTACCCGCCCGGAAAGGGCGCCACGCGGGGCGCAGGAGGCACAGTGCCAACCTCCAGCCGCCCCGCAATGCGAAAAGAAGGGGCGGTGCCAAGGGGGGGGCGGGACGAGCACGCAGAGTGACAGTGGGGGCTGGTGTTGGGGGACTGCGGGAACTGCAGGCAGGGACGCCTAGGCCTGTCAGTCTGTCTGCCAGTCCCTTGATCAGTCGGCCTGTGACTCTCCCTCCCGCTGGGCCTCCTCAAGAGCCAGCCCCTGGCTTGGGGCTGATTGAGACTGAAAGCGGCTTCAACCAATCACCGGCGGCGTCGGGGGCCGGGTCTGTTCAGGCGGAGCTGAGAAGAGCTGTCCGCGCGTTGGTGGTGCTGAAAACGCTCCAGGGGCGTTGTGAGGAAGACCAGGAGAGAAAATCAGAGTTGAAGCCTCCAGTTGGCTGACCAAAGTCACCTTATATGTACAAAGAGGGGAGGTCTTTCTTCCCCAAACCCCATCCTGTTACCCCATAGATTCCTCACAAACGTAGAAACTCGCCATTCTCCTGGGACAGGGGAAAGCCCATTCTACCTGAGCTTCTGTAAAAGGCAAAGGGAAGGAAGCCCATGGGGTGTGTGGATGTAGATAGAAGGCATACTTGGGGGCCTAGCAGGCTCAAACCAATCTGTGTCTGCCCTCGGCTCCCTGGCAAGAAGAGATTCAAATTCCAGATGTGCAGGAATGGTGGGGGAAGGGGGCCTAATAACTACTGGGACCAAAGAGTTTCCTTTGCCTCCCCTAGGGGCAGCGGAGTAAGGATTACGGTCCTGGATCATATGATCACTCCTTCCTCCATCTGCACTTCCTCCTCCTCCCTCCCTCTTAAATAAATCCCAGGCCCCTCCTTTTGCCCGTCCCCAGGATCTGACGTGGGCTCGACACCTTTCTAAGCTTCTCCCTCCCGCAGCTCTGGTGCCCAAGCTTCGGCTTTCCGGGTTCCCCAACCCCTTCCCCTCCCCACAAACCCCTCTAGAGCCCAGTAGAGACCCTCCCGATCCTTGACCCCACCCTGAGCCCCAGGAAGCTGCCTTCCCCTTCCTGAGTCCCTAATCTGGGATCCAGTCAGCCCAGTGGACCCAGGCCCCAGAGCAAGAGGATAACCCAGGCCACCCAGCCCCTTCAGCCCTTTGGGCCCCACCCCCTGCAGCCAGAGCCGCGCCCCCCTCTACCACAGATTCAGGAGTAGAGGACAGAGGAGATCGAGCAAAGAGGGGTGGGCTCCAGGTGACCCCTAGTCTAATCTGCCTCAAGGGGCAGAGAAATTGTCTTTCTTTGCTGACCCCTAGCAGGAAAAAAAATATTAAAGGAAAAGATAAAAGGAGACGGAGGAAAGGTGGCAGCTAGATTATTTAGGACAGGCACAGAGGAGAGGAATCAGGGTGAGTCGCCATGGGCTCTCCCAGGGCCCAGCACCGGCCGCCTCCCCAGCTGCTGTTCCTAATTCTGCTGAGCTGTCCCTGGATTCAGGGTAAGGACATG